GATTCGGTTTTCATCACACAGTCAGTGTGTTCCAGTCTGATGTCCTTTGCACTGGTGACAGGACTGACTCCTATTCCCATCTGCCTGTTTGGTCTAAACTTGCCAAAAGTGTGGCAAGGAGAAACATGAAAGGGGAACTTGAAGATGCCTGGGTGCTTGAGATGTAAGATGACTGTTTAGGGTTCTGAAGTGTTGAGTTCCCATTTCTTCGGGCTGTTACATTCACGTTGTGTCCTGCCCGATTCCCTCCAGCTGCAGCTCTGGTGGGTGCCCGGGTGGCTGGAGCAGGGCCTGGGCTCTCCCTCTGCTCCGTGGGGGTCGGCAGGGCCAGAGGAACTGATCCTGAGCAGGAGGAGGAGCTGGATCGTGTTTCTGAGGTGTTTCTGTTGTTCTCAGCCCGTGGTAATTCACGATGGGCAGGTTTAGCTCCAGCTGCTCTGGGCCTGCCTGTGGGTTCCTGGCTGTCTTCCTTTAACAGAGACCATTTAAAATACACCAACAAAGGCTGGAACACAACAGGAGGAAGTGCTGGTTGCATTTACTGGGTTGTTTTCACTGCTCCTGATCACAGATATCCGTGATGTGAGCCCTCACCCCCAGCTCTGTCCATCCTGGTTATTGCAGAGCAGTTCTTGGTGTGTTTCCCATTGGAATTTCTCTGCTGCAGTGCTGGTCCGAGAAATGTCTAAAGAGCCCAAGCTGTTACAAGTTGATAATTCATGCTCCATAACCTCTAGGCGTGATTCATTCCACAGGAATTCCAGGCTGGAGCTGCCCATTAGTGCCTGGGCTGACAGCACACCTTTAAGCAAACTGTTAGGAATATCGAAAGTGCTCCAGTGATAGGATGGAATGGCTCAGGGGTTCCACACGCAGTGCAGGAGCTGCTTTCACTTTCAGACTGGGCTGCTCGGCGGGGAAGGAGCGGGTCTGGTGGGATTTTTGGGCCATCCCTCTGATCCGGGGGTCGGGGCTGTTCTGTGGTGCTGCTCTCAGGAAAACGTGACTGGAGCCTCTGGAGTTGGGAACCGTCTCCGTGTGCTGCAGGTGCTGCTCTGTGGGCCCAGCTCTCCTCTCCCAGCCCTCTCCAAACACTGTGCCCTTCCCCGGAGCCTCATCTCCGGGGTTTGCTTCCCGGGGAAGCTGCTGCTTTGGAGGAGCCTGTTTGGTAAGAGAACTGGGGGAACAGCACTCGAGAAGTTTGCTGTAGAGGTTCCCTCGAGTGTGGGCCTCCATGTTATCAGGGTTTGTTGTCAGGGCAGCAGGGTGGGAGGTGGAAGTGGAAGCACTTTGGAGCTCGCCAATTTTCATGGTTTTCCGTGACGTGGCTGCCTGGGGGATGGTGGGACAGGCACAAACCAAGGGCTGTTCCCACTTCTCTGTTCTCCTGCCATCCTCGGGCTCACACAGGTCTCTGACACCGGATTTAGTGAGTTTTAATTTAGATTTTTCTTGGAATTTGCATGTGTAAGCCGCCCCTGGCACTGGAGCATGAGCTCAGAGTGAGAGCTGGGACAGCACCCAGGAGCTTGGTGTCTCTGCTGTCACAGGAGCTCACTGTGCAGCACAAGGCTTTGGCCGGTGCAGGTTGGGTTTGGGGACATCCAGCACGTGCTGGTGCCGTTTTCCTTGGGCAAGGAATACCCTCAGCATCCTCCAGGATTGAGGTGTGGCTGGAAGGGTGCCGGGAGTAGAGCTGCAAACTCTTGGTGCCTCTTGCTTCCCACTGTTCTCAGTGCTTGCCAGTATTTTGGAGTTGTACTAGAGCCCCCCCATAGACCAAGGCCCAGGGCATTCCAGTTTTTGCTAAGCAGTTTTCCTTCCTTTTGCCAATGGGGCATGATCTTTTGTACAGGAGTTTTCCTAAGGAACTGGTGCTGCTTTAGGGACAGGCTCTGCTCTGCAGAGTCCACGAGTGAGATCTGGTGGTGTGAGACATGAGCTAATGTAGGGCAGGAACAGAGAGATTCTGATATTGATTTCACCCCTCCTGAGCTCCTTTGGATGTGTAAGTAAAGCTGTATATTTGGTATGGCTCTTACGGGAATCATTGCTGCTGATTTCCTATCAAAAGCTGTTACAAATAGAGAAAAAAAAAAAAAGAAAAGCAGCAAAGCCCCTGAAGTCTGGTGTAAGGAAGAGTCACAGGGTTTTACAGGCACTGGAGGACATCAGTTCCTCTGGACCAGTTGGTGACATTGACCCTGGGATCAGCATACCTCCCATGCTTGGGAGCAGCTGAGCAGGAGTTAAAGGGAGTATTCAAAAAAAGGAAAAGGGACACCTTCCCCTCCAAAAAAAACCCCAAACAATGCCATTGGGAGCTCTACACAGCATTTGATAGGCAGGACGTGACCCTGGGGCTCTGCTCTTCCCCCAGAAGGTCCCCAGAGCGTGGGGGCTTTGCCTGCAATTCCCACCATGGGGTCAGTGTCCAGGCCTGGGGGTCCTGGCTGGTCCCCACGGGCTCTGCAGGCCCCACATGAGCCCTGCCCACGGGGCACTGCTGGCACAGCTGTGGCACCACAGAAGGGAAGAAAGAGTCCCTTTAATTTAACTTTCCATTGCAAAGGCAGCAATCATTTTGTTCGCTGGAAGGTCACTTATTTTTGAAGGGCCTCTGACTCAGAAATGGCTTTTCAAAAATACTCCTTGAGCAAACAGTGTCTCCCAAGTGATCAAAGGTGGCTCTTTCAAATTACAGCTTTGGTCTGTGCTCTGTAGGTGGTGTGTGTGGCTGGATTCTCCATCAGAAGGTGTTGGCCACTTTGATTTCCTTGGCTTCTGGGGAGGAACAGGGTCAGGGAAGGCAGAAAGAAGGAAAAGAAAGATCCAGTGGAAGTAAAGACATCACAGTTGCTTTTCTCTGCCCCTCCGGTTGTATAGGTTGCTTTCACCATCTCTTTTTTTTTTAATCCATTAAATCCAATGGGAAATTGGTTTCCTTTGGGATTATGGACAGTTTAGTGAAAAAAAGTAATCGTTGGGAGGTTTTGACTGAGCAGCTGTGGCAGAGGCAGCGCGTTCCCGTGGGGTTAATCCTGCCAGGACAGTGATCCTGGGTGGGCAGGGGTGAGCCCGAGATCCTGCAGGAGGGAAAGTGCCAGGAGCTGATAAGTTCTGGGATTTAGATTAATACTATTAATCTAAAAAGTGTAGCAGTGTGCTGTGGGGTTTGGCTGCCGTGGGAAGTGTTGGTGCCCAGGAACATCTGCTGGGGGGTTTGGGAGACCTCAGTGTGCTGCGGGGTGGGAGATGAGGGCTCCTGGCTCACTGTGGTGTCCCTGGGATGGGAGCGTATTTTCAGGAAAACAGGCAGTTTGGGAGAATTGATTGCCTTGAGTTTGCACACAAGTGCAGAGTCTTTTTGTACATCAGACGAGGAAATTCCTCTGGCTGAGCTCAGGTGTGTGCAGCGATCCAGGAGTCGTGGGGACCTGCCGGGCTCCCGCAGCGTGAAAGGCAGGAGAGATGTGTGTGTCTCAGTTCCTGTCTGGGTGAATTCCAGGTGTGCTGGTAGTGGAGAGCTCTGTTTCCCAGAAAAACCTCTCTTTTCTCAAGAGGCTTGTGGCTGTTTGCCCATCTCTCAGCTATGTTTGGGCTTATGAGTCTTTTTTTCCCCCTCCTCTTTCATGAAACCTAACCGTGCCTTTCCTTCCCAGCCCAGGACATGGTGCAGGGTGAAGAGCACAGATAAGGACCCTCCCAGCACTCACTGCAGAGCCTGTCCCGCCCACCCCGAGGGCTCCATGCGGCAGGACACGGGCTGATGCCCTCAGCTCACCCCGCCATGGAGGGGGGGAACAGCTTCCCGCAGCACCAGCAGCCGGGCGATGCCCTGTGCGGCATCCCCGGCCTCCGCCCCCAGCTCGCCCTGCCGGACATGGAGGTGAGGCCACAGCTCCTGGGGAGGGGGGGCTGTCCCGGGAGGGCCTGGGCACATCCTGGGAGTCCTGGGCCGTGGTGACTGCAGCGGTTTCCCAGACTTTCCAGGCAGCTGTCCAGGGCCGTGCAGGATCGATGGAGGGGTTGAGGTGAGGCTGTCTGCTGGCCTTGAAGTGGGGAGGGAGAAGCAGGGCTGTGCTTAAAACAAGGACTCTGAAAGCTGCTGGGTGCCAGCTCCCCGGTGAAGGACTGAAGAGGGTACCCAGGATTGCAGACCTTGTTCCTCCCCCTGCTCGTCTCTCCCAGACGTGTGAACCCGTGCCTGGGTCCAGCTGTGCCTGTTTCCAGAGCAGCAGGGGGATAAATAAGTTGTGTTTGTCCTGATGCAGCTGCTAAAACCGGACCAGGTCCCTGATGCCTTTGTCCAACAGGGCAAAAAGCAAACCCTGGTCCCAAAATAGCTGACGTGTTCCTGCAGTTTTCTCTTTCTAACTCTGGAGTGTGTCACATGCAGGAACAGCAGAGGTTCCAGCGAGGCCCAAGTGCCTGTTGCTTCAAGCACAAGGTTTCAGTGCTTTGGGCACGCAAAGGGCAGATGAAAGGCTGCTCTGGAGCTGAGTAAGGAGATACTGTGTTCTCTCCCTGATTTCATTGGTATGAGCTGAGCTAAAAGCTTCCCGTTACCGTTGGAGACTGTTCGGGGAAGTGGGAAGGCAAAAGGCACAGAAGGATGGTTTTGGGTGTGAGCTCTGTCAGCCAATTTCAGGTTACTGGGTTAGTGCTGGCTTCCCACAGAGACTGAATCATGGAATCATGGAATCATTGAGGTTGGAAAGACCTCCAAGGTCATCAAGTCCAACCTGTGCCCGATGCCCACCTTGTCCCACAGCCCAGAGCTCTCAGTGCCATGCCCAGTTGTTCCTTGGACACCTCCAGGGCTGGGGACTCCACCACCACCCTGGGCAGCCCCTGCCAATGCCTGAGCACCCTTTCCATGCAGAAATCCCTCCTGATGTCCAACCTGACCCTCTCCTGGCACAGCTTGAGGCCATTTCCTCTTTTCCCATTGGAGTGTCCTGAATGAGTGGAAGGGCTGAAGCAGAGGATTGACCCCAGTGACCTTCTGGGGACAGTGATAGGGAAGTGGGTCCCAAAGCTGGAAATGGAGAGTAGCACTGGATGTCTCCTGCTCAAGAGATGAGGAGCCACCTCTGCCTCTGGAAAGCACTGAGGGAGGGAAGCCACAGGTGACGGTGCCAGGCCTCTGCTGCTCTGACTGTTGTGGTTTCTCCTTGCAGAATTCCATGCTGGCCACCAACCCATGGAGTAGCTGCTACTCTGCCTCTTTCCCAACCTCGTCCTTCCCAAGTGAAAACCAGTGAGTGCTGTTCTCCTTTGTCTAATCCCCTCTGCTCTTGCACATCCCGTGATTCAACTGTTTCTTTACTGTTTTCCTTGTTTACTTTATTTCATGATCTGATGGGGAAATAATTGCATCACTCACTGATCTTGTGGCATTTCATACACTGTTGCAGCTTGGAAACAGCAGCAAACAGCTTTTTGTTTTAAAAAACAAGAGAAAACCTTTGATTTCTGGTAAACCTGGAGGCTGCAGTAAAAGGGGAACAGTCTTGCTGTAGCTTGGATTGGTTACACTAATGGAATTTTAAAAAACACCCCATGAGCATGGTCTGGCAGAGGAAACGCACTGGGCAGTGTCTGCCTTCGTACAGACATGGAGGAAGATGTTACCTGTGCCAGGTGGCAGATTTTGGGTGAAGTTAAAATTCTTTGCCATGTCACTGGAAGTGACTGACACCAACCACCGTGTCATGTCTGCGCTGAAAAAACGTGCTCAGCCCAGAGTTCCTCGGGGTCGTGACTCTGCTCTGGCTCTGACTGATGTTCCTGGGTGACCTCACCCCACGAGGTGTGAGGGGACCTGTGTGGGCTCCCGTGGGGAGCTGTGCCTGACTCTGAGCTGAAGGTGCCCCGTGGGCAGCACAGCTCAGCGCTGGGCAGCGGGGTGGGTCCGGTACCTTGGGGCAGTGACAGTGGCTCTGGTGGGAAGGGTGTTAGCCACAGGCTTGCTGGATCCAGAGCAAAACTGCTTCTAGACCACCTGCCCAAAGCAGCATTTTTGGAGGGATTTTTGCATAACAATAAACATTGTTTTCTCTTTCCCCCCTTTATGATGAAACTCCGTCCTGGATCAGAAGGTGGGATATGACACATGTTTGGACAACATAAACTGGCCTTGTGCCACCACTTAGTGACTTGGATGGGGACTCTGTTGGGGCTGGGAGATGCTGTTTGTGGGGCAGAAGGTTTGGAGGCTGATCCAGGGCTGTTCTCTGGTCTCTGTGAATCCAGGGAGTGGCATGGATATGTGGCATGGATACAGGATGTGTTCTTTATCTAGGTCAGAGGTGGGAGGAACGAAAAGTGAAAGAAGCAGAACTCGTATCATGAGCTAATAACTGTGCTCCAGGTGCCTGGAATTAAAGTGGGCATTTAGTTTAAAGGGATTTTGGCATCTTCATGGAAAAGCAGAGATCCCTCCCTGTGAGGGTGTGAGTTCCAGGAGGGCTGTCAGGGAGGCTCAGCCCCTGTTTGGGGGGTGAGGTGTGTTGTGTCCCTGGGCTGGTTCTGGTGCTCTGGGTGTCTCCTGGCAGTGCTGGGGGGATGGAAGGGGCACTTCCCGACAGGAGGGTCCCAAGAAGCTGCCCCACAGGTGCTGAGGGAGCTGAGCTGTGCCAGCTCCTCCCCACAGGAGAGCAGGAGAGGAGTTCCCAGCTCCACTCGGGCCCTTTGCTCTCGGCCAGCCGGGGCTGATTGGAAGGGGCTGTGCTTTTTGAGCAGGATTCCTGTAAACTGCACGTTGTGAATCCCCCAGAGAGCCATAACAGAATTTCTGTTTTGCTGCATCGAACCACAAGATTAGATTGTGTTTGTCTATTGTGTTGGGTTTTTCTCCTTGACCATTTGTTCTGGTTTTGCCCCTCTCTCTCTTCCTGCTCGGTGCTGCTCGTCACAGCCCGATCCTGCAAGGACATGCCTGTGCCTGACACAAACCTGGGCTTGCTTTGCTGGAGTTACTTCTGGAAATGTGGCTCATTGTAGTCATTGTTTGCTAGGGAGCGATTTAGCCAAGGCTGCACCTTTAGTGTCCTGTTCTTCATAGCCTGAGAACTGTAAAAATCACCTTTCAGGTCAGATTTTCCGTATCTGCCTTTCACATTAAAAAAAAGTCTGTGCTTTCTGTACTTGAAAACTGCACTGACTCTGTTTTAGGTGGATTTAGGGTTAGGGGGTTACAGGTAGGAATCCTGAAAGGGATGGAATAATTGAAAAATGGGATTTTAAAGGCAGTTGTAATTGTAGCCCCTGCTGTGACACAGAAAAATGCAGCTGCCATTAGAGGTGGTGCATGTTTCTCTTCAGAATCCTTGCAGAGAAATCTCATTTGCAAGTGGCTGTGTTTGGACAGGGCTTATTCTCATAGCAACACCTTTATCCTGAAGCAGGTTTTTCCTGTTCCTTTTCGAGAGTTTGCTTTCATGGTGGGGAATTTCTTTAGAAGACCCCAAATGTGGCCTCCCTGGTTCAGATTTTCTTAACCTGACTAATGTCAACAGTGTATTAAACCTCCCTAAAAGAACCACTGAGGTTCAGGGCCCTGAAGAACTGCAGCTCAGTTAATTTTAAGGAAGTTATCCCTGCAGAGCTGGGCTTCCCTTGCAGCTGGAGGCTCAGCACGTCCCTGGCCGGGGGGATCTGGGACAACCCAGTTGTGCTGTTGGACAAGGTGTCACACAGCTGCAGAAAGGTGTTCCTCAAACCTGCAGCAAAGCTTTCTCCCCAGCTGCCAAAACACACGACCCCTTTTCTCGCCGTTTCCATGCCCTTTTCTACCTCTGTGTGGAGTCTTGCTTGCTGGAATAGTAAAGCAGGCTCTGAAATTGGGTTGGTGTCTGATGGGGAAGGAGAGTGCTGGACTGGTGCTGAGTCAGCCTGTGGCCTCTCAGCTCTCCCTGGTCTCCCACTGGCCTGAGATGTGGAGTTTGTGTCTCTGAGTGGAGGACAGAGGATGGAACCCGACCCAAACACACAGGAGGTCTCAGTGAAGTGGCAGCGTGGGCCCAAAGAGCTTTGGGTGCATTGGATCGTGGATGAGCAGCTGGAATGCAATGGAATTGCAATGGAGCAGTGTGGGGCTGCTGGGATTAAACCAGCCCAGATTTCCTTTCTGGAATGGTTTGTGGTTGTCCAGTGAACACCCTTGGCCTTTGAAGGAAGCTGCTTCCATAGAGCAGTTTGCCAGGCAGTAAACCCTGGAGAGGCTGAGCAGGGGTGGACAGGGCAGTTTTCTGCAGGGCTGTGCTCACACCTTTGCTGTGCCAGGGTCACAGACCTGACTGTTCCAGTTCAAGCTCTGGTTTCCCAGTTCAATTCGAGCGACCTCATCGGTGGCTCTGTGCCAGCCCTGAGAGTAACAGCTTTAATTCCTGGCTCCAGGGGAGGGAAAGGCCAGGTCCAAAGGGAGGAAGGGACTTGGTGGCTTTCTGAGGAGGATCTCAGAGCAGTGCCTGGAGCTGCTGTGGGCTCTCATTGCAGGCTGTGGGAACAAAGTGCATCTCACATGGGCAGACTGGAAAACCAGCGTTAAGGGAAGGAAAATACCAACCAGGGCTGGTCATGGCGCAGCAGGGCAGGTTGGGACGCTCTTGGGCTCCTCTCCGTTACCTGGACTGACCCTTGCCCAGGCCATGAAGTGCCAGGGAAACAGGAGGGGGTGTTCACTTTTCCAGTAAAAGTAGTTTTCCCATTCCCTGGTTAGTTCCTTGGCGCTGGCCAAGCTCTGTCCTCGTGTGAGAGACGGCGAGACCGCAGCGGCCTCGACTTGAAAGCCATTTAAACCAGCCTTTTCCTGTGTGGAAATACATTCATTCCCAGAATTTATGCCCAGATTTTAATTTGCCTGGGTGGATTAGGAGGAGCTGAGAGTCAGGGCTGGACTGTGGGGGCTGTGATGTGCAGGTGTGCTCACATGGGCTCTCTGCAGCAGGCAGAGCTGTGGCAGCACGGAAAAGAAGGAAAAAAGGAAAGGAGGAGTAGGGAGCTGTTGGTTTTTCAGGATATTACCTTTAATGATGGAAAAGGAGCAGGAAAAATATATTTAGCAGAGGAGATAACTGTGTTTGCACATAAATCCACATGTAAATGTTCAGCGGGCGAGTTAATGAGCTGCTGGCTACACATGGCACCTTAATTGCTTAATAGTCCTTTGGCAGCTCCTCATTCCCAGCTCCTGGGCAGGAGTTCTGTTTAAGCTCTGTTTCTCCCTCCCCCGGTGCCTCCTTCAAGTCTCTGGCCAGGGGTTCTGTGACTGGTGTGAGGGAGAACGTGCAGCTCCCACAAGAGGAAAGCAGCTGGTGGGGTGAGCACTCTGTGATTGCCCAAGGAGGGCAGGGACTGACGGGAAGGATTACAAAGCACATTCCTTGCTCCTGCAGGACAGGGAAGGGGCTTGTGTCTGTAAGAGCAAAACCAGGAGGGGGTGTGGAGCAGAGGCCAGGAGGAAGGGAATTGGCTGCTCTGCAGCAGTTTTTGCCTGTGGCTGCCCAGGGGAAGCGGGTGCTGGGCACAGGGAGCAGGAGGAAGCTGGCATGGCCCTGCCCAGCAGGCAAGACCTTTGCTTTGTTCCCCTGTTAGTTCAGCAGAGATCTTTTCTTGGAACTCACATTGGTCACATCCCCAGTTCCTCTCTCGGGGTAACAGTTCTGTCTGGGGTTCCCTTCCCCAGCCCTTCCATTCTGATCTGCCTTTGGGGTCTGTCCAGGTGTGCCAGGGGGTCTTTCCCTGTCAGAGCTGGTTTGTGGGGCTGGTTTTGGGGGGTTTATGGCCCAAACTGGCATTCAGGAGTGATGTTTCCCTGCACCTTGATGTGTGTCCCTACATGGTGTGACTGGCAGGTGCCATCACACCCATCACACTCAGCACTGGGACATCCCAGGGGCTCCATTCTGCTTTGTTGTCAGGACTGAAATATTAATTAGTCCTGCAGACCATTTTTATCTATTAAATCCTTCCTGATTTACACAAATTACCAAGAATTATATTTTTAGTACAGCTTTCTTACTTTCTTACTGCTGAGTTTGGGAAGTGGGATAAAACTGGGAGATATATTATTTTGCCTAGAACTTTTTCTGGATAATATCCATGATAATATCCACCTCCTGTCTGTGACATCCCAGAGCTGCAGCTTCACCACTGCTGAAGGCTGAAGTGACCTGTGAAGTGCTGGGGACTGACAGGGAGTAACTGCTTCTCCCATTTCCTTACAGGCAATATTTTAACCTCCCTCAGGATTTTTATATGGATTCCATCAGCAGACCACATTTCTTGGATACAAACTATGCAACTGTGGACCCCGCTGACTTCCTACCAAAAAATGGGGATTTTCCTCAGGTGAGTGCAGAGTTCATGATGCCTCTGGGGGAGAAGGGGCCTCTTTTAAAGTGATGTTTGCCATAAGCACTGGCAGTGCTGGGGGGTCCTGGCTGCAGGAGGGTCCTGCAGGGTGAGCTGAACACATTTGAGACTCTTCAGTCATTTCCCTCCCAAAATGCTCTTTGCTCCTGTGTGCTGCACGTGCTTCCTCACTGGTTGCACTGGTGGATTCCTGAACAGTGAATATTTGGGGATTACATCAGCTCAGTGCCCAGCATTCCGAGAGTGGAGCCAGGTCAGCCTTTGCAGAGCTGAGTGTGGGAGGAGTGAGCAGTGACCTCGGGTCACTCGGCACCTCTGGGACCCGGCGGCTCCCTCACCTCGGGGAGCTCTCTGGGTGGGAAGGAGCTCTTTGCATGGAGGGTTTGGAACGTTGTGCTGGCTTTTGGCAACACGTTCTGGTCAGCTTAGTCAGTAAATACTGGAAGTAGTTGATATGACAGCTGATCTGCAATAAGGAAGGGACTGACTCTGTCCTTTCTAGGAATTAATATGGACGTTGGTGCCTGCCTGCGTTGATTCCCCCTCAGGGTGCTTTTGGTGTGGCTGAAGAGAGGCTTTAACCCTCTTTGGGGCTCTGATTTCTGCAGGTTTGGATGTGCAGGTGCTGAGGATTTGTGCCTTTTGAGGTGGCCACTGCTGTGGTCCCCCCTCTCCAGCTCCTCGTGCCTTACATCAGGGACCTGCCTGGCACAGCAGGCCTGGGCAGCCACCAGGAGCTGCTGATCAGGGTCTTCTGACTGGATTAAACCAGATAAATAATTGAATCATAATAGCATTGATCTCTACCTCCTGCAGAATTAATTGTGGGAGGAACGAGGCAGAAAGGTGATCTCATCAACTTGTGAGACCATTTACTGGCCTGCAATGGGAAGGGGAGAGAGGTCCCCACCATAGGTCTCACCTCCAGGTCTGGTGGAGTTTGGCTGATGGGTTTAACGGGAAAAGGGCTTAATTATTTCTTTAAGTTATGTATTTTCTACTATCTCAGTGGTCAGTCAGCTTCCTTCCCTGCTGCATCACACAAATTGATCTCAGCCAGCCTGGGGGAGCAGATTTTTGGGGATTCTTTGTGGAAAGGAGGTGCTTTGTGTTGGCTGGGTGGGAAAAGAGCAGGAGGCTCTGAGACAAACCAGGTGTGAAGGACCTCAAACGATTTCCAGAAATAATTCTTGTGCCACTCATCCTTTGGGAGAGGAAGCCATGGATGGGAGCGAGGTGGTTTTAGGCAGTTGGCTCCTGCTTGGACTCTTTCTGCAGGGGGACTGCACCTATGGCAACGTGCCTGCAGGTGTTCTGCCCCAAGTCTGGACACAGCAAATGTCCTTCTCTGAATCTCACGCAGCCAGACCAGCTCCTTCCCTGGGGTAGTGTGCCGTGGTGCCATGTGCTCTCCCACCAGGAACAGAGCTGCTGATTTGCTCCTGGGAGCCAGAATTGGAACCTAGCTCTGGTGGGGCAGCAGGCTGTGAACTGGAGGCAGTGCCATCAGTCTGGAGACATCCAGGAGCATCCTGGAGTTTTTCCATCCCTTGCTCCTACATTGTTTTCCACTTCACTGATTTCTCACTGTCCCAGATGCCAAAACTGTTAAATATTAACATTCCACCTGGAAAGCTGCAGCATGCCATCCCGGGGGTGCAGGAGCAGCTGGCTGGTTACATCCTTCCAGGTGGCTGTACAGGAAAGTACCTGACTTTTCCAGGCTTGCCTCTGCCACGGTAGGAGTGGCAGTGCCATGGAATGCTGTGCTGGCCCGGCTGGCCCAGACAGAGCAGTGGAGCCAAAGGGGGAACAGGAGAGCTCTGCTGCAGGTGCTGCTGCAGGTTCCTGCTCCAGCCTGTGGTCACTGGGCAGACAAGGGGATCAGGGGCTTGTGTGAGGACTTGTGCTGCCTCCACACACGGATACCAGAGTCTGGGATTTTGAAGAACACTGAGAAGGGATTTAATAGGTCTAAAGAGCAAGTGATTGATGACTGAGGCATTTGTGTAGCAAACCCTTTCTGTTGGTGGCTGTGCTGGGAGGGCTTGGAGAGTGGGAAGGCTGGCACCTTTTCCCTCCAGCATTGGCATTTGCTCCCCCCATCTATCCCTGTTTTGTTTTGGGGGTCCTCAGCTGCACCTGCAGAGTGCAAAGCCTTTGCTGACCCGGGGATGCCAAGAGTGGGAGTTGCCAGGTTTTCTGATGGCTCTGGGAATTTCTCTTCAGTTGGATCGTTCACCTCAGTGAATGGGGAAGGTCCTTCTCTGCACGGCCAGAACAGCCTGATGTGAACTTGAGCTTGTTTCCTCCCCAGTATTTTTGGGTTCTGGCTTGCTCCTGGGTGATTCATCCTTGCCGGTCTATTGGCATTTTTTATATAAACAAGTGGCTTGAGCGGAGGTTCAGAAAATAGTTCTGGGAGGCCATGCTGGGGTCTGACAGTGTTTCTGGTCTTGGGAACTGTTGTCTTCAGCCACAGTCTCATCCCAACCATGTGGTGCCATCTCCTCATGGAAAAGTCTACTGAGTGCCCACGTGTCCTTAGAAATCACAGCCCTGAGAGAAGCAGGATTCGGTTTCCGTTGCTTCCCTCCCTTCCTGCTGATTATTCCTCCAGCCACAGGTGCTGCTGACCTGGGATCCAGTGCTCGTGGGCAGTAATTCTGCAGAGGCACTTCTCCCATGTCAGTGCTTACCCTGTCAGAGCTGTTAACTGCCACAGTAAAGCACTGAACCCACGAGGCCTTCACTTACTCTCTGACCTGTGCTGTCCCTCCCAGGGGCATGAGCTGTGTCTGTCCCCAGAGCCTTGTGAAGGCAGAGCACGCTGCTCTAGGAGAGCATTCCTGCCATGTGATACCTGCTGTTCTTGGCCACCACAGATTTTTCTTTAACTTCACTGTTCTGGGCAGTTTAGAATTACTGAAAGCATAGACTCTGCCCAGTTCCTCTGAGCCCCCTGTTATCTCTGATGGCCCTGCCTGTTGCTGATAGTCTGTGTTCCCCTTGCTTAATTTCGTGTGACTTGTGGCTCCAGGACTTTGCTGAACACACAGAAACCTCCTCTGCTGACTTCATCTGCCCTGAGGAACACTGAGAAATAAACCTGGGAGGGCGAGTGGGAGAGGGAGCAGCTCCAGGGGAGGAGACGCTGGGGGCACGGTGGGGGTGTGAGGGGCTCTGCAGAACCTCCTGTGGGGGTGTGAGGGGCTCTGCAGAACCTCCTGTGGCAGGAACTCGGGGCTACTTAAAACATGAATTACTGGCCTGGAGGAAGGAGGTCAGGCCAGATGGATTTTTTTCCTGTGGGGCAGGAGGAATTGGCTGCTCCTGGGCAGAGTCACCTGCAGTAACGCTGTAAAGGTGCAGTTACAGCCCTGTTTGTGCTGGATGGGGGCTCCTGACCCTGCATGTTAATCATAAACCAACCCTCTCCTCACCACCAGCCCCTTGCAATCTCCTGTTAATCTTCCTTGTTAAAACAGGAGGAGAAATTACCCCGCTCTTAAAAAAAGTATTAATTTTTAGAAGTGCTTCGGTACACAGAGCTGTGGTGATTTAGGAGAAATCAATGTAACAGTTATTAAATTATATGGAAGACTTGGTTGTGGCTGAAATGAAGAGTTTCCTGGAATAAGAAACATCCTGGAACTTGTGTCGCTGTCCCGGAGTTATGTCTGCAGGGAACACAGACATTAAAATGCATTTGCAGGCAGTTGCCTGGCTCGGAGGCCTTGGAAGAACAAGTGGCCTTACATGCCCATGTCTTTGTCTTTGCACTGCGGGGTTGGGGTTTGGGCTGAGGTAGTAACACTTTATAAACCCTCTGTGTGAGATGCCTGACACTTCCTGCAGGCCTGGGGTAAGGAAGGTGAGGGCTGTGGTTGTAACTGCTCACAGTGCACCGACTGAGTGCTTGGGGTGCTCTGATTTAGGCACCCTGAGCTGATCCCCAGGAGGAGGAGACCAGCTGATGTTATTCCAAAGCAATGTCTCCTTTAGATTGGATGAACTGTGCCTTGAGAGTAAATCTTTCCCCTCTGTGTACAGGAGGAGCTCTTGGGGCCGTCTCAGGTGGAGATACCTGTGGTTAAGGGAGAGGAATTTGGCTTCTGAGGTGTAGTCTGTTGTCAGCTGTGCTTGGCTGTGGGTTGCAGGAGCCAGCCGGGCCCTGGAGAGGGGGTAAAAGAGCCTGGAGGGCTCAGACATCCCCCCCATTCCAGTCCTGATAGTTTTCATCTGTGTTGCTGCCTCCAAGCAGTGATGTCCACTGTGGGCAGGAGGGGATGGAGATCTGCCTTCTGAGGTTCTTGGCAGGGGCTGTGCCTGCCTCCTCCCTCCCCAAAGCCAACAAAAGCGGGAAAAGCCGTTCTGAAACGCTCAGTGCTCTTACAAACGATGGCAGTAGAATCCAATAGCAGCCCACGGGGACATGGCTTAAAATAGATGCTTTAATTCAAAGCAGGGCTGGTCTGAGTCAGGGGGTGCTGAGGGTTCCCCAGCACAGCAACTCCCTGGGCTGTGCACTGGGGTTGCCTGGAAGGGGGGAAGTCAGATGTGAGTGCTGGAATAATCCTGCTGTCCTGTCCCTGTCTGGGAGCACACGTGTCCCTGGCTGAGCTGTGGGGAGCAGGGGTCTGGGGGCTCCTCTGGAGGGTGGCAGTGGCAGTTCTGGGTGTTTGGCTTGCCCGTGGTGATCGGTGGTCACACCACGGTGGTCACACCACGGTGGTCACACCGCCGTGCTCCCCTAGGATCAGTGAGCAGCCCTGGTTATCTGTGTCCTGTGCCCGCTTCCTCTGCCACTGCAGGGCTCTTGGCTGCCCCATTTGTTCACTAACAGAAGAGGAAGAGGAAATAACCCACCTGCTTTTCCAAAAGTTGCACAAATAGCAGGAGGTGATGGTTCAATCAAGGTCACCAGCGAGTCGCTAATTAAGACATTGCAGAAATGAATTTGGCATCTTCACTCC